ATATACAATATAATAAATATATATATATATATATATATAATAAATTATATAAATATAATATATATTTTATATTTATTATTATATATTTATATATTTTTATTATATTATATTATATTATATAATTATATTATGGTAACATGCCAACCCCTACGGATGATTTTGTTTTTAAACAAGAAATATAGGTCATTGGTATTAATTAAAGGTGATAGTCGTCGAGGAGTTAATTAATTAAATTTAATAATAGTATTTTTGTTTAGAAATGGGTGTCATAATTATTAGTATACATTCCAGTATAACAATCTTACAATGAATTTGTTTAGAATTAATAGGAATTTGTGTTAGAATGTTAATTCCAAATAAATAAGGAAAATCTTACCAAATTGTCTTACCAGGGAGAAACTTTGAGGTTCTTGACTCGAATATTCCTCCAGAGTGTATATAACGATCCAATCTTTTCATAAGTCCTACAAAAATTGAGGATTTTTTTCTAATGGATGTTTTTTTTCAAAATTTCATTTCAATTTTGAGCAAAATCATCCATGACGCGTGAGAATATTTAAGAAGAAAGTAAGCAAGAAAGAAAGAACAAACGAAAGAAGCAAAACAAAATGCTGATCGAAAGAATTAACAGATGGATACGTAAAATGACACCTTTGAAATTAGAGAGAAGGAGAGAACAAAATAGCTGGTTAGATTGAAAAGAAGAAAATACAGGGGGTGGGGGTTTGTATGTTTTTTCAAAGTATTCTAGTGTTGGAAACCAACGAATTTGAAGTTTTGTTTTAGTTAATTTAACAACTGGTAAAGGGTCTCCTCTTAACCCCTTAATATACAATTTTTATCTTGTAGATAATTATAATTTATATTTTAATTTTTGTTAAAAGAAGAAATAAACAATATTTTTAGGTTTCATACAAAAATTTGAATTGATGTAAATTTGAAAATAAAACAAGATATCGAATCAAACGTTACAGTAATCGGGAAAATATTTTTCTATCAGTGGTCAGGGTTGTATCAGTAATTGTTCATTAAAAAATTAATCACCCAATAGGATCTCTCGAAATTGGTAAAATCACGAAAACCAATAAAAATAGCAAAGTTAATAAAACATTTCCGTAAGGCTTGGCATTGTTTAAATTGAAAAAGAAAAATTAGTTAAAGAGAAAAGTAAAACATGCATTGTTGAAATTTTATTTTATTGTTCGAATGTTTAATTGTTAAAATTAGTAGCTCTTAATTTTAAAGCAATAGTCATGCATAACAAAAAACCTGAATTTATCCAGAAGAATAATTTTCATAGTTCATTTTCTTGATTTTCTTAATCCATTTAACACGTTGAGCGCCATACAAATTCTTAGGGAAATTCTCGTCAGGCCACGGGGTTACTTTGTATTGAAAAAAAATAGTTGAACGTGTCAGTCATCTGTGACGGATGTGGCCTAAGCGTAAAGTCTAGTGTCAACCACCGATGGTTGGTTGACGTGGCCGCTCAACGTGTCAACCTTATTTTATTTTAAATTAGTAAGCAGAGAATAATTTCATTTAGAAATCTTTTAGAAAAGCGATAAATTAATGTGATATTTTGAATAATTAGAATTTTTGTTTCGTAAATAATCAACATGTGCATCTTACCTTGCGAAGTGGCATCCAATTCAGTGGAATGTGGCGGTGATGGTCTATTGTTATGGGGGATACTGCTGGTTATGTTGGATATTGGTTGTTGTGACAATGGTGGAGAAGAATATGGCGGTGACACCGAAGTCTCTGCATTGGTGGCATAATCTCTTGGTATTAGCAAATTTTGAAAATCGTTGATGTCGTGTAAACCCTTGACTTGAAAAGATTTAGCAACTCTCAATAAATTTGATAATTGATCATGGGCCACGTGTATCTCACCACGATACATGAACTCCAATATACTTTTAATTTCACCATATTTCACATCTTTCAGTGCCACTACTATATGTTTATGTGGTTCTTTGAAAAATATATCTTGAAAGTAATTAGAACAGGCTGCTAGGACCACTTTGTGACATTTCAAGCATCGGCCATCATCCAAAAATAGAGTAACATCGGCGAATGATGCATTTATTAAAAATTCGTCGAATACTGCTACCAAATTTGAATGGTAGTTGTTCCAACGAATATTATAATGCTGAGGTTGTGCATTCGCCATTTCTATTTGACGTTTTAACCAATAGCCGTTAGTTCAAATATGATGATTCTAAAATCAAAAAGACACAAAATATTATTAGATATATATAAGATATTTTTTTATGGTTTTAATATGGCAATTTTAGGGAGATGTGATTAATCAATTTTATTCAATTTATATAATAGGTTAAATAAAAAATCAGTTCGCATCTTAGTGTACATATGTGTATAGGATTTGTACAGCTTGGTGTACATATGTGTATAGGATTCGTGAATGAAAAAAATAAATTGAACAGCTGGACTCTAATTGGACCGAAATACAAGTCCCAAAATTTTTTGCTTTAGGTTTTAAATATTAAGTTATACCCATTAAAAACCCTATGGTCACAACTTTCTCACGAATCCCTTTTTTATTTGAAAGAAGACGTTCGATTTTACACTTGGTCATTCTGCAACAACGTTCGAATAATCTTTTTGTGATATTTCAAAGATGCTAAGACCATAATTACATTTTTCCTAGCCACCTTTTTATATCGTTAAGATCATCTTCTTCTTGCAATTTCCAAGGTACTAAAGATGCCCAGTTAACTTCCTAGAGTTAACTTCCACAATTCGTGTCAGTTGTCTTCTCATGATAATTTCGAAGATGCTAGTAGGCCCCTATAGTCATCGTTCTGATCGTCTTTTTCTTTCAAGTGTCCTGAGTTCAAGGACCACGTTGTAGTAGCACTTTTCCTCGGACACCCACATGGGTTGCAATTAACTCATTGTCCTATAAACAACGAGTGAGACTCGTGTTAGGAAATTTGGGCCCAAAACAATAAGCCACGAGCCTGACTCGTGACACTTCGTTTGGACAAAACTTATATTATTATTATTATTATTTTGGATAAGGGGTTAATTTTGTTTTTGTTTTCGCATTGTTGCACAATTTCCAAGTGTTTAACGAAGCAATTCTCCATCCTGAATGGATCCCATTTCACCCATTTATAGGATTCGTGAAGAAAATTCAACCAATGACTGAATATTATTACTGAGACTCGAAACCCAGGATATCAGTCAATCATTTCTGATATATATAAACATTTTTGTATGTTAATAATATTATGATTAACTTACTGTTTTTTTTTTTGGAACACCTTAACACGTTGACCACTGCGTTATATATGGTTGAGTGATATGTATATTTCTTCAGAGATCATACAACTCGCATTAGTTGGATGCACTGTAAAAAGAAATTGTAAAAAACAATTATTAAATTATAAATAAAATAATTAAATTATTAAAAAATTATTAAATTAGAAAAATATGACTAAAAATTTATTAAATTATAAGAATATTATTTTTAAATTATTAAATTATTACAATATTATTTAAAAAATTATTAAATTATAAAAACAATTATTAAAAAATTTTATTTTATCTCGCGAAGTTTGTCCCGCGACCCAACTTGCATTCACCCTCACATTTGCTATATTTTTAAATATATTGATTAATTATTTAATAAATAATAAAATTTTTAGAAAGTGGACAGTATAAATGTAGAGAAAATAATTATAAATAATTCAATAATTCTAAATCAATATAAAAATCAGAATAAATTTCACTTCTAAGCTGACAATGAAGGTAACTGTTTACATTAGGAAGAGAAATAAATCAAAGTGCATGTTTGCATGGTCATAAAATGATTTTTTTCCTGTTGCACTTTGAACCTTTTGTCCTCGGTTTCTCTTAAGAATTCAGATGTTCTTCCTACTGTGATCCATTCAATGCTTTTAACACAATAGACTGAAGCATGAATTCTACATTGACCAATGTCCTTGGGGAATTCTCAAAATTCCTATGATTTCTACGAACGATTTCTAAAGGAATTCCCTCAAAGGATTTTAAAGATTTTTCGTGTAATTTTTACCTTGTCTGAATTCTTAACATTGTAATAGTAAACCAGATTCTTGACTGTAACAATAGGACTGTTACTATTTAAAAATATACAACTTTAATAGTAATTTAAATACCGTATAAAAGAACTGTTATGCACCATCTTTTAAGTAAAATTGAATGACCTTAAAGGGATGTTTCTAAAAAAAAAAGTATTTGAAGGAAGAATAAATTCTTTCAACACCAATCGACCAGTAGGCAAAATATGTTCATAAGTATAATAAAGTATAAAGTTGTAAAAGTAACTATATTTATCAAAATATAAACATATTAAAACTGTAAAAACTTTTGTTCTCAGAATTGATTGGCTAGCTAGTGTGCTGTCTTATATTAATGAATAAACATTTTAATTCATTTTTCATTTGGATCCCTACCTGGGTTTTTTTTTGTTTTTAACAACACCCTTATAAAAGTACACCCAGTTAGAATCTTAATTAACTTTTTAACTAACTCTTTTAATTAACTATGTATATTAATATAATAATAATAATATTAGTTTACATATAATAATATATATTATAATATAATATAATATAATTAATTATTATATTATAATATTAATATAATATAATATATATATATTAATAAATGAGATAAAAATATATGAAGAAAGATAGAAGAAAATTTGGAAGAAAAATATTGTGTTAAATGAAAACGATTGAAAATAAAAAAAAAAAAAATATAAATAAAACGTAGTAGCGTGTTGTTATCGATAGTATTTCGTTTTATCATTAAATTCTGACGAAAATACTACGATGATAATATTATGACAAAATAATTGCGTCATTTGCGAAGAAACGTTTTTGGTAGGGCCACACACACATACACATATTATACATATAATGAATAAGCGATTATTACTATTAGGGTCCGTTATTCTGTTAGTGCAACGTATGACTAATAAATGATCTTTGGAAGAAAGTTTCCCTTGCTAATGGAAAATGATGACGTCATAACAAATAACACATTTTAGAAAAATGTTTCTAATTGTACGAACGAATGAACGAACAAACAAACAAAAGAATTCTTTTCTTCTTTTTGAAGAAAATGTAACTTGAATGAATCATCTTCCTAATCAAATTTCATAATCACACGCGTAGATTATAATTTCACATATATACGATGCAAATTTTGGAAAATTGACAGAATTATTATTTTAATAACAAAATATAACGCGATGATTTTATTATTAGCGATATTTATTATAAATATATTAACTGAAAATCTAGAATTACTTTGATATTGTGACATTTATACTATAATAAAACTATATTTGTAGATGTAAATATAAATAATTTCTGTTTTCTTTTATATATATATATGTGAAACTATATATGAAACTATATAATGAAACTATAGTATTTGTAAATAAAAGCACGTGGCTTGCTAATTTTTCTTTTTTTTTTAATAATTCATTACAGTTATTTAATAAATTATTATATCAATTATATTACTAAAATATATTTTCTATCAAGAGAAAAAATTCATTGCAAAAAAAAAAAAATAACAAAATTCATGTAATACGTTATATCTCACTATCTCTATCTTTATCTCTATCATTAATCCCTATCTTAATCTTTAGCTTCTTACCCTTAAACGTTTCGTCTTTTATTAATGTTGTCTCTTAAATGTTTCTTCGTGTTGCACCTCACTAGAAATTCACTTAAAAATTTTTTTGCAAAAACATTCGCGAATTTGCTAATATTTGCCAATACAAATTGCCAATTTTACAAATTGCCAATGATAATAATAACGATAATAATAATAATATTTGTTTAATAACACATGAATATAAGCACATAATTAAAATTTCGTTAAATTTACCGTTGTACTAGTTTGTAATTTGCTTGCTCGATCTGATTGCTATGTGAACTGCCAAAACAACAAAGTCCGTCTGAGGTACACTACATACTTTAGGAACTGTACTGTGAAGAGAGTGATGAGATCTTAAACTAAGCTTAGAACGAAAAGGTGGGCAGGGCCTTACTCCCTTCTTATACTTCTAAAATACGTCACCGTACCCCCACTCGCACTTCTATCTACCAATCCATAGAAATAATGCGCATATTGCGATGCGCAGGACTACACTATATCACTTCCCCTTTTCTCCTAGAACCTATGAGACACTACTTCTGCTATTGCTGTTTATTAATTAAACGAATGCGACTGGCAAAACTTTTATATACATAGAATGAACACACATAAACGTTTACAACGACCTCTGTCCGTAGTCATTTTCGTTTATAACCTCTTTCGTAATCGAGATAATGACACTGTTGGTAACACTGCCTTGCCTTTTATGTGTGTTAGCAATAGCAACTACGATGAAATGCATTTTTATTCATCACTAACGTTTCCATTCCTAACTTTTAATATCACCCCCTTTCTTACTACTACTACTACTACTACTACTACTACTACTATTACTCCCACTATTTCTACCACCACTATACCCTACTTTGCCATTCCCCTATATTTTTCTTCCTTCTTCAAGTTTTCCCTCGCACGTTCTTTTTGGGTTTCCCCTTCTTTTCTGGTATAACTGCAACGTTTTTTTTTTTTTGATAATAACTTAGAACATATGCAATGCGAGTCACCCTCTAATGTTTCACCGTCACCACCCCCCTTAACAACACGACGTAGATAGAAATAGAGATAGATAGATGGATTGACTAGATATAGGGTGTGTGTGCTGGTACCTAAGCGAATCTATTTTTAGAAATAGTTAAAAAGAAGGGAGATATATATATATATATATATATATATATATATATATATATATATGTATGTATGTATTTTGTTGTAAGAAATTTTAGTGAATCGTTGAAGTTTTGCGATGTACTTATTTCTCTTTTGTTTTTCCTTTTGCTCGAGCTGTGGCGTCCGCCATTTTGTGACCACGTGTTATTGGAAACATTTGCTGAACGTTATCGCAATTTTACATAATAAAATTCGAATTAATTTTACTTTGTCATTTGTTTTTTTCTCTATATATTTTCGTTTAATAAATATTCTCAATAATTAGCTAGTTTCTTTTTTTTCGAACGCTAAAATGACTAATGCTTAACCTAATTGATTATTAATGACATGCAATTATATAAATATTTAATCTCTTCATTGATAATACTTAAGAAATATTTATTTTGCTATTAAATATTGTTATTTGAATACAAAATGAATGCGAAAAGAAAACGACAATTAAATGGGGTAATTAATTTGGTAATAATATGTTTAGCGATTGCATTTTAGTTACGTTAGTTAAAAAATATTTAATAACAAATAATATAATAAAATATAACATTTGTTTTCCCTTTGATATATTTTTACGTTTAATTTTCTAATTAATCTTAACTTTTACGCACGTAATTGATTCGATGCAGTTTTGTCAAATTAATTAATATATGTATAAAAACAATTGAAATAAAAGTTAAAAATTTAGCGTGTGAATTGAATTAAAAAACAAAAAAAAAAAAGAAAAAACGAAGGTACAAAAGATAGATGCACATTGTGTGCTATTTTGATAATTAAAAAAGAAATTCTTTTCATAAGGAATGAACAGCCATGAAAAGATGAACTCCGTTAGTTTTTTTCTATGGTTTTCAAATGGTAAGGATGTGTTTAGTTGACTATGGTGGATGGTAAAATTCTTTTTTCTTACACGCCCTCAACTCGTGGGTCCTCCAATCCTATTGCTTTTCGCTTCCTTTCTGATTCTCCTTCCCAATTTTCTATCCTCTATCTCACCAACCTTTTCCCTCTTCTTTTTTCTTTTTTTTTTTGCATTGGTCGTTGCTTTTTTTACTTGTCTCTCTCTCTTTTTCTCTCTCTCTCTCTCTTTCTCTCTCTCTCTCCATCTTTTCTTCTTTCTAATTCTAACCTCGTCCTTTTTTTTCTTCTCTCTCACGGCATGTATCGTTTTCTACGTTTCTTTTTCCTTTTAATTGCAATAGGGTTGCGCGTTTCAATAGTGTTAGTCATTATATTCAAAATTATATAATATATTATTTTAAATTGTAAATATAATAGATAAATAAATATTTGTTATTTAATATTTTTGAAAAACAAAACAAAACAAACGAAAGTGAGTTTAACCCTCTTTGAGAATATCAAAGCTATGAGACGAACTGTACCTATGAACGGTAGTGGGAGGGTACATCCAATAGAAGCTTGTCGTTGATTACTGTATAGTATAGTCCAATTCATCTCCTTTTCTATCACACTTGTTTCAAAAACCACTGCTGTCTGTGACAATAAAACAA